CCCCTCCCCCCTCCAAAGCCAACCAGCTGTTTCAATTTCCTCAAAGCTGCCCCCCACCCCCACCCTAACCAACCATTTAAAAAAAAAAAAAAAAAAGAAAACTCAGAAGAAAGAAACTTTTCAGAAGCAAAACTTTGCCAGCGGCGTCCCTCGTCTAGATGCCGCCCTGGGCGAACTCTCAAGCCACTTCGCACCATTAGGTTCGACACTGAACTAAAGAATCACGATTGAAACAGTAATGTGAAATGCTTGACAAAAATAATTAACGAAGAAAAAAGCTTATTTTCTTTTGCAAAGCTTCAGTGAATCTAACATCTAACGAAAGATGTTTATTGATCACTTAGCAAATTGTCAAGTTTAATAGTTTAAACAGCTTATGAAATATTTCAGGAAATAAGCCTACAATCTCATTTGGCGCGAGATTTATTTTATGCCATTTACATGAAACTGTGCTGAACGCAGCGTTGCAGAACCTAATACACAGGAACCGAGCGCGTTGTGTGTTTGAACAATGAGTAAGGGAAACTATGTTTGGTATAATTGTTCACCCTGCTGTAAAAAAAATAATATCAATACCTTGTTCGCTGCTGCTTTGGGACCATTAGAGCTGATGGCTGGCAAGGAGGGGAGGGGAACGCTCAAAGGTCGCGCTGCCCTTATGAGACAAGTCTTCGTGCCCCAGTTCTGATTCTTCACTTGGCCGGCAAGAGCTACATGGCTTTACATGGGGTCATCCCAGCTGGGTCAAGAGTTATCGAGGTCATTCGCTGTCACGTACCTGGTCTATCTCATATCTATTGGGGGACTGAAGCTTACCTCTGAACAGTTTAGCATAAGAGGACTTTGTCAAATAGTACACCTCACAAAAGCAGCTTTTTTTTTTTTTTTTTTTAATTAAAGGGTTAGAAAAACAAATCAAGAGATGACTAAAAAAAAAAAATGCACAGACAGCCACCCTCATTTTCTTCTAAACTCTTAAACAGTAATGTTTGCGCCATAACTTCAGTTTTCATCACAGAGAGCGCTTCGCACAAATGTATTTTTGCAAAACAGTGCAAATGAATTAAACTTCTCTGAATTTTATAGCTAGCTAAAACACAATTTTTCGTATACTTTTCTAGTACTCTCCACAGCGTCATATAATTTATATAAGTTTTTTTATTTTTATGTTCAATTGTCTTTTATTCATCTGTTGTTCCATTTTGTATTTTTTTCATCTGTTGTTCCATTTTGTCTTTTTTTCATCTTTTTTTCCATTTTGTCTTTTTTTCAGCCCCCCCCCCCCAAAAAAAAACAACAAAAAAACAAACAAAAACAATTTTTTTTTTTTTTTTTTCAATTGTCTTTTTTTTATCTGTTTTTCCATTTTTTTTTTTTTTCATCTGTTGTTCCATTTTGTCTTTTATTCATCTGTTGTTCCATTTTGTCTTTTTTTCAGCCCCCCCCCCCCAAAAAAAAACAACAAAAAAACAAACAAAAACAACAACAACTAGTGCTACTTATTTCTTATCTTTATTACTAAGTAAGATACTGGGTTGAACATGCTGGCTAGATGTGGCGTCTTAGACTCTCCAGGGCACTGCAGAGAACATTAAGGCAGTCTCACAACCTATACAACTGGTCTTGACCCAAATTACTGGTCCTTAATTTTGAGCAACAATGTTACCAACTAATATGTTACTCAACACTGAATTATTTACACAAAAAACTCACTTTCTTTTAAAGTTTCATACATTTTATTTTTTTATTAGTAAAATTTAAAAACATGGCATTGGCAAGCAACAACAAAACAATGTTACATAAAATTGCATTATTATTTCTCCCAACAAAAGTCATAAGAAGAAAAATAACACAAATTTCCATTACCCTTATCACAGCCAGAGCAGTTGTAAGTCAGTTCAAGATACACACAAATTTAAATTATTACTAAAATAAGTTTTGAGAAAAAAACTTAACAAAATTGTGTACATTGATAATGAAAAGTGAATAAGTCCTGATTATAATGATAGAGTTAAAAATTTTAAGCCCTCTAGAATTATATTTGCATTATCTACTGGTGTATCATCATTTCAAATAAAGTTTGAATAAGACAGTAAAGAAAGAGCAGACCAGAATTTTTTTTAAAAATCTCACACAAACTTGGTGCCATTATGTCAGCCAACTATTGCCTCCAAACCCACCCCTCAAGCATTAGAAAAATTGACATAAAATTCATCTTGCTAAAGACATAATAACTATAAAGACACACTGATTTAGGTTTGAATTGATGGATGCTGTGGCAGTCCTTTTAAAAAAAAGTTTTTAACAATGCATTCATAATCTGTTAATGGGTAACTGAAGTGTATGAATCAATTCATTGTTAGCTAAAACACATTTAAAAAAAAAAAAAACTTCTCTAAACAACCTGAAATCATCTAAGTTGGACAATAGCAGTTGTATTCACCATTATAAATAAGTTTCAAGGGAGAATTTTATCCAAAAATAGATACACACCAGAGTAGTGGTGTATAGTTTCAACATAATTTTTTTTTGTAAGAATCCTTTTGAATACAAAATTTAATTTATTTAATTGAAAAGTCCAGGTGGATATCAAATCAATATAAAAATTTTAAGAAAAAAAATTGCACACTGTTTATTTAAATTATTGTCAAATGATCAGCAAAAGAGCCAACAAGTAACTTTAAATTAGAATCAACTTTGTGCAACACTTTCATAAACTCACACAAAAATTAAAGCTTTTTCTATTTATAGCCATCTCTTGGTACACATGTTTGACAAGTTCAATGCAAATGACAGACATATGCAAATGCTTGATTTTCAAAAACAAAACAAATAAAAGCAGCACATTAAATTTATACACCTTAAGTAGAATGCAACATACAAGTATATGACGTCCCCTATGAAAACTGTTTTCTTATCGAGGAAAGAATTTAATACATTTTTGAACGCTGCAATTTTTAATACTTTGACTAAGATGCAGAAAATTAAAAATTTCCCTACTGAAGGTTTTCTTGTGTTACTTGCCTGGAAGAGGGAAACCTTTAGAAATGCTATTTTAATGAAAACAATTTAATAATTTTTTAATAGAAAAGCCCAATAACTAAGAATATAATGCAGAGCTAACACCCTTTATATGCAATAAAGACAACAGAGTTAAAATGTATCAAATTAAATTGAAAGTTCCCATCTAATTTTAAAAATGAAATCTGGATTATAGTTATTGAAATTTGAAATTTTTTTAAAAGGGATAGCAATAATTGGTGCCGACAGCTTGTGACTTCGTGGAACTTGAATACTTTGTTTATCATTCCTCTTAAACTAATGTTGGTAAAAAAAGTACAAAACAAAAAAGACCAGAAAACTTTGATAAGAAACAAAAAAACAATTTCAATGATAATACTAAATGAATATTGTCTGCTCAGTCTTGACAAAAGGATCAAAGACGGTGAACATAAATGCCTCAAGTTTTCAATTCATAACCCACTCAACATCTAGGAGGTTGTTTTTGTTGGATGTCATCAAAACCAATAGACAAACATTCTGGACAACTGAGACAACATGGAACTTACAAACCATAAGAATTGTTTTTCTCCAAAAATTGAATTAATTACCATTGAAAATCTCAACTTCAAATAATGAGTCCCGATTGGGCTATATCAGATAAAAGATTGCCCTTTATGATGAAAATATGTGTTTCATATATTTGTCCTTAGTACATAGATAACATTTGCTATATTGGTTTCATACACTGAACCTTTCTCAAAATTCTTTAAAGATGTCATATCAAATTAATCCATAATTACTTTTGAGAACAGTGTATCCCCTCAGTTCATTTGAACAGAAATTAATATGACATTATATATTTTAATTTGTTTAGTTTTTGAAATTATTATTATTATTATTAGTAGTAGTTTTATATAGCCTGGCACCCCAGCCTAGAGCTGGGCTCACCATGCTGTACATACAATTTAACTAACATAATCATGAACTTAAAATATTAATTCCATGAGATGGCCAACTAATAGTTTCATCTATTTGCAAAGTGACACAGGGAATTGCTATAATTAATCAAATTATCATTTCAACCCACATCTAACAATGAGACATCCAGGACATGTAGACAATACAAGTGTTTTTATAAACAAACAAAAAAAGTCAGAATTGCATCAAAATATCACACAAGCCATAACATGCCATTATCATTTTAACATTGTGCACTTAAATAAAAATAATCAGTGCTGCACAAATTACATTTAACTTACCTTTCTAGATATTTAAAAATAAAATTGCTTGATATTCATTTTAAAAAACCAAAAAACTATCGCTAAATTTTCATGTTGCACTTTTGAAAATTAATCCTAATGCATTACAGCATTCAATGGTTGGTTTAATAATATAATTTAACCACTGAAGTAGATATCAGTTGAGGAAAAACATCAATCATTGATTTGAGCGCCCTTTGCATCTAAAAATATTTATGCAATTAAAATGTGACAAATTTTCTCAAAATAGAATATAAAATATTAAACTGATTAAACAAAATATTTTGATTGTAAGCTGACATAAATTAATAGAAACAATAGAATTGACATTTATGTGTTGTAACACTGTGTTTAAAACGCAAGCAAACTTTGAAAAATGAGGTTATTTTTACTATAAAAACTTTTTGAACTAGTCACTTTTGATTAACAAAGGTACACATTGAATCGATTGTGATACAGTAAAAATATTTGTATCAATACCATTTAATGGCAATTATGAGATTTCCGTATCTGGAAAACCATTCCACAACCCAAAACAAAACTTTAAAAATCTGAAATAAATAAAAATCCTTTTCTTTTCAACTACAACTGCACATGAATAATGCATAACACTAAATTGGAGCATGCTGCAATTTATGAGAAGAGACCACTATAAATGGATAAACCCAATAAAAAAGATGGATAAATATTGGCTGGGTGAATTTTAACATGAACACTGCTATAATTTCTTACAAATTATATCCCTGATCAAAATGAGAAGAAAAAACAAGCAGAAAACTGAATGATTAGGGCATAATTAAAAATGGCCAGTCCACTTTGACATGTGGAGGAAACCCCCCAAAAATACTTAAAATATTACCAAAGAGAACATAAATTAAATAAAAATCACAGATTTTTTTTGATAATGAAATCCTGTTTCTTCCTACAACTACAAGTTTCCAAAGACTGGTTTTTAAAAATAGAGTGGACATAAGAGTTGGCAAGTCTAACAATTGTATACATTTCTACAACTTAAAAACACATCTACAAAAAAAAAAAAAAAAACACTTGAACACAATTTAGAGTGAACATATAAACTATATATGAATAATCAAAAAACTGTTTAAACAGGTTTTTAAAAATAGAGTGGACATAAGAGTTGGCAAGTCTAACAATTGTATACATTTCTACAACTTAAAAACACATCTACAAAAAAAAAAAAAAAACACTTGAACACAATTTAGAGTGAACATATAAACTATATATGAATAATCAAAAAACTGTTTAAACTCAGGATAAAAGTTTTAACTTTCCTAGCTGGATCAATGGAAAAGAAATTGTTTTCAGTAAAGAGTGGCACACTTCAGCACTTTATGATGTAACAAAGTAAGTATTACAAATATATTACAAATATACAGTGTGAAAACTTTACTGAAGGCTTGACTGAGTGTTTAGTTATTAGCATTTCCAATGAATTTCTTTAAAAAAATATTATAACCTGAGCAATTTTTCTGAAGCAGTTGGTAAAAAATAAGGAAACCCCTTATATGAAAATTATATTTTTTTTTACATTTTGAAAATTCTACTATAAACTATAACAAACTATATATATAACACTGGGAGGAGAGAATCAACATTTCCCATCTGAACATGCCCCTTAGAACATTATGCTTGCTTGTCTGCCCCCACCCCGATGCACAACACATGGGACAATTTCCATACTACCCTTCCCCAGAAGCTCTTCTGGCCAGACATCATAGGCATCTTGCAGATCTATGCTGTCTCAACCTCTTTCGGTAGAACTGGATACATTTATGTCACAGCTTACCATATTCCCACCACATTCTATTTATTTTACTTGAGTACATTTGAAGCAAGGTTGAAATCATATTATTAAAAAAATGTACATAGTTAGATCTAAAAATTTAATAAGTTTACTAGACTCTCAAGGCACATTTTTAAGGTTTTTCAGAATTCTTCAAAGTGTGAAGAAAAGTTAGATGGACCATATAGAGTTATATCTATAGTGTACACATAACTCCCCTCCTCAAATAAGGGATCAAAATAAAACCATAAACAATGCATATTGTAGCCTTGCAGATTATTAAATATACATTATACATATTTATTTATTATGACATAACAAATGAACAACAATTTCCTTGAAGTCAAGGAAGGATCAGGAGCAATCCACATTTTAGCTGAGCCTTTTCTTGGAACCTTTTTGACGACATTGATGAAAAATTCACTAAAAACTACATTCCATCTTTTTTACGACAGTTGCTTATGTGACTTACAATTCCCAGTGCACCCCCAATCCCGAATCGAACAAAATTGTCTCCTACAAGCGGTCCCAAGGCAAACATTTGTGGTTCATGAACAGACTGATATGAATAGGCATCAATGTCAATTGTGTTGTGCTTGCTGTCGATGGGCCATTTAGGAACAACACCCAGGTGTCGACCTTCTCTGGGCAAAAACCCCAGATCAGATCTGGAGCCTATCATTATAGCAATGCAGGAAATGTCAAACCAAATGAGAGAATCAGTACCTTTGGCCTTGACAAGTACTTTGCCATCAGTAATCTCCACAACACTGTGCCTGGGCAAGGCCTTGTAGAGCTCGTTTGTTTCTTTACCTTTCATGAGACTGTGCACTCTGTGGTACTCTGGGTACATGGCCTTTGGAAGCTTGGAAAAAATAAGTGAGGGGTCATTTGGATTGCGGCGAAAAACATGTATAACAGGAATATTAGATTCCAGAGCCATGAGAATGGCATCTGCAGCACTTAGTCCGGCACCTACAACAAGAACTGGATCTGTTGTCTGTGCCTCGCACTGTGCCAGTCGTTGTTCAAACTCTCCCAAACAGTGAACAACACATGGAAGGTTCTCCCCTTCAACACCCAATCTGTTGGGGATGTCGTAGGCACCAGTGGCCAGAACAACGTGAGGAGCAACATAGCAAAATTCCTGCCTGGCAACCACCTGCCCTTGATCATCCATTACTGTGCTGTAGCCTCGAACTTCCCAACAATGTGTGTGGTTTCTCCGGACGTTCTGACAACAAGGTTCAACTTCACCACTCTCACTGTCAACATGATTGCGCAGGTGGAAAACTCTCTGCACCGATGTCACAGTGTGATAATCCCTGAAGTATTTCTCAAGGTGTTGTGATTTAACATAGTCACTGTAATAATCCTTTACATCACTAATTGTGGCACGACCCAACATATTTTCTCCTCTGCATGTATGCCTGAAAATAATCATATAAAAGTAATTAACAGTGAACATACTTTAAATGAACATGGATAAGACAGTGTGACCCTAAGTAAACTTAATAAGTTCTTCTTTAAAAAACTGTTGCTTAGTATATCAAAACCATCAAACCATTGATACAGTATCACTATCATTATTAAAACTCACCGTTGTTTAGCAAGCCATTCCTTAAAAGGCACTCCAGGTAACTCCATCCAAGAGTTTTGACTTATTGTCTGCATGGCACCATCGATTTTCTGGAGAGAGAATTTCAATCGGAATATCATTATTAAATACAATATAAATGAGCATGGAATTTTTTTAAATTGAAAATTATCTTTCAAAATAACTTCATTTATTACTGACTGACAAGGAAGTCTTTTCACAACCTCGCCTGATGGGTGTTAGGATTTGCATGGAAATAAACCTTTCACTGTCTGGACTGGAGCTTGTCCAACCACATAGCCACTTTTTTAACAAATAACTTCCAAAGCCATGTCTATGATTCCATAGAGAAAGGACTAGTTTAAAAAAATCCTAATGCTCTACACCAGGCCTGCACAACTGAAAATGTAAGGCGGACCATAATACTTTATGAAAAATTTGTGCCGGCCGAATGATAATAGGATGGGGGATGGGGGGGGGGGGGAATCTATTTAAAAAAAAAAAAAATAAAAAAAAAAGAATAATTCGTCACTTCGCGGCCGCAAAGTGGTTGCTGGCGGATGCAGCCCGTATGTTGTGCAGGCCTGCTCTACACAAAAGTTTTGTCCCCCAATAATATATTTTCGAATGTGTTATAAAAATGTTAGAAAAAGTATGAAAAGCATACCTGCCAGGTTCCTCCGGGCTTGGTTTTACCAAGTACAACATGTGGAACTTCATGCTCTGCCTGATACTTCCAGTCCATAGCTGGTGGGTTGTCTGCACCCAAGTCAGCATCTGGATGGAACAGACTGTCGAAGAGTAAAGCTACTGGGTTGTTGGATCTGCCTTCTAAGCCATCACAGAGGGATGGTAAATCCTGAAATCAGAAAATAAGGTATATTGAAAATAAAACAAATTACATTATTGGCCAATCTTGTAGCAAGGACACATTTAAAACATACACTATTCTATAATTACACAGCCCCTTTTAAACAATGATGACAAACAGCATCAACTAATTGTTAAATTTATTGTCAATAAATATTTATTTGTTACAGTGTTTGACAAAATATTAATTTGGGTCTGTAGATATTTACTTTAAAAGAAATTTAAGTGTAATTTAAAAAATAATGAGATTGGATGATTACAAATATAAATATAAAGATAATTCTTAAAAATGCATGGTATATGTACCTGCTCAACCAAAGAAATTCCCATGTTCTCTTGCAACCTTTTACTGAGATATTCATTGGAAAGTGTATGGCCATTGTAATACGGTCTATTACCAGCAAGCATATATGACAGAGATATTGCAGAGGGGCCATTACCTAATGGAGAAAAAAATGAAATCAATAGTTATTTTTTAAGAAGAATGCATATATTTCTGTGCAGTAAAAGAATAAAATTGCAATCAAATTGCAACTTTTTAAAATGAATGTTTGCAACAAATGACATCAATGAGCCCAAAACTAACAATGGTATGAGCAATTATATACAGCTAAATTGTTCATGAGACATCTCTGAGAAGAGTGGGGATCTCTTGATATCTTATTGGAAAAAATTCTAGGTTTCAAATCCTTAGGGCCTTAAATCCCCAACACCACTGATTTGCATAGTGCCTTTAAAGTAATGATAAGGTAATCTCAGTTTTTATCAGTATTTAAGTAGAAACAAATGAATAGTCAGTTGTTCAAGTGTTAATTACAAGTTCGCTGTTGTTTAAGTAAGTTCAAACAGCACACCATACCCCAACCCCTTTTTTTTTATCCACCTCTCTTTGGAGCATTCAGCATTCTATAGCTAACAAGTTGTCATAACAAATGTTGAGTTAATAATGCAGGGGTCTTAAACTTGTGGCACTCCTAGTTTAGTGTTGTGGCCTCCCAAGTCACTGTTACAGTGTAATAAGAGAAAATGCTTAATAGCTTTAGTATTTGTGTTGCAGCACTTCGGCCATTAAGTTCCTCAAACTAATTCAGTTTTTTCATTAGAAATAATGATGAGTATCACTGTACTTTATGTAATATAATTTTCCCATAACTTTGTCAATAATGGAATATTAGACTTAAAAGATAGCAGCCAATGTTTCTTTTCAATTATTCAAGTGGTGCTCAAAATTATTACAAGCCTTCTTTGGTATATATTTATGTACAGTATTAAAATGAAAAATTGTAAACAGTAATATTAAGTTATTCTAGCTTGACCAACATTTTCTAAACAATTTAGAAACAAAACTTTCAATGTATAGTTTACATTACACCACAAATGGTTAACTTAAAAAAAAAAAAATCACTTACCAACAATAACAACTTCTGTGTGCATAGTTTTAGGTTGGTGACTTGTGTGGTTATCCATTTTCTTCTGTTAAATCCACAATATTTATATTTATATGTAAGTCCGTCTTAGTCTCTGAACAATTCTGTTTTGTAAAACTTCCAAACCTAAGTGTCTAAATAAATGAACAAAAATATCCTGAATTAAAATATATTTATTTTTTTAAACATGGTCAAACAAAATGTATGAAATAATATTTAATGGTGTGCTCAATATCTATAAAAAAAACAACTAAACTTTAAAAAATTCCTATTATATTCATTTTAAGCCATTTACCAATTGCCAGTGAGGGTAGTTCTCTCAGAATTAAGGTCAAATTAAGAAACTAAAAATTTTTTTTAAAAATAATAATAAATAAATATTTGAATGATGGAGATAATTAAATTATAGTCAAGTACTTCTGTGTAACATCAATCAAAATATGCAAACAACTCTATTCACAGAATTATAATCAAATATTTGAATAATGTAGTTCTTTGTCTAAGCTTAAATGAATCTAAAAATGGTTTAAATCTAAAAAGAACAGATATACTTTTATTGCAACTAAAAGATATACATGTATAATACAGGCCTACTAAAAGTGTAGGCTTCTTTTGACTTGCATTAATGACATGCCTTGGAAATGTTAGGCAGTGCCACCTGCCATGGCCTTTTTGAGACGCAAGGGGCCCCTGATAGGGCTTACTGTCAAGTGTACACCCACCAGTAGTGTTAACAATGTAAGTTAAGTCTTGAAACCAATCTTATCTATGAATATGAACAGGTAAATAGACATTTAGGCTTATGGTCGTGAGCTCCATGTTGGCTATGCGCTGGGCCCAATAATAAAAGGCCTTAATCCGGCCCAGGTTAATACATCACTCAGGAGGTGTAGGGACCATTAGGTCAACAGACAATACTACATAATTGATACATAGGCTTACATGGGCATATAAGGCTGGCTTACATGGGTGTAGTATAATGTGACCATTTTTTATATTTTATAAATAAATTTTTGGCCATGGGTGTCCAAATATAAATAATTATTTGTTATTACATTTCAGGGAGGAGATAGTGAGGTGCTCTTTTGAAGAAAAAAATCATTATTCCAATTTTGATTAATTGTAATTCTTTAAGCTGTGCCATTTAATGATTTTTTTATGCCTGGATATCACATGTAGTTCTACTTAATCTTTTAATAAATTTAAATAAAATTATTATTTTAAAATAATTTAGTCCTAAACTATGCTTGTTTCAGCTCAAGTCAAACCAGGACAAATGTCTAAAAACCAGTTATGTCCTGGTAAAAACAAAAGAAATACCCTTCTTAGGATCTTAGTGAATAACTCAATAAGTAACAAGACCTAAGACTTAACATGGTAAAAACAAAATTAAAAGGAATACCCTTGGCCGTAATGAATAACTAAATTAATAAGACCAAAGACTCAACATTTACTTAATGCTGACACTCTCAGTCTAACGCACTTTTAGTCTAGTTGAGAGTGAGAGTCAAGAGTGTTTTCTCAATTAGTGATCATAGGTTCAACCACTTGATGAAATTATTAACCAGTAGGCCTAACTTTTTCCCCACTGCCACTAGTCATTAATTAATTAATTTGTATTCAACCCGACCGGCGTTAGACCCGGCTTCATATCACAACCCTTAAAGTCTAGTGACCTCATGTCCCCAACTTACGCAGTTACGACGTACTTACGTAACATAGTGAGGTAGTGACCTCAACTTTAACAGTTACACAGAAAAATCATTGATATTTTTTTACTTAGGTGAGGGCTGAAGGTGAGTTCAAAATGAAAATTATTAAAATTGCGTGGTGTAGTTGTCTCATTAAAGTGAAGGGCAACAATAATAATAATTTAATATATATTTAATAATTATTCTTGAAGAGTAGACTGCAGTCAGACATTGTTTTATTTTTATGGGCATGGACCTATAGATCTTTTTATATTCCACAAAAAACAACAAATATTTAAAAATATTACCTCTAAGCACTGAAAGAATGACAGACGAGCACATCCGTTTTCTCAATAATCCAATCTCACACTTCCCGGCGTTACTGACATGAACTGAAAAACCGCAGCATCATGACACTGCTTTTTAATCTCAAGACTTGCCTCGAACACTCATGGCGTGTTATTATTTTTAGCCGTTAGTTGGTTGGCTGAGAGGAACGGCGGGCTGTAAGACTTAGGTTTTGTCGACTCATTGAAAGAAAAATATCGTTCCTGGTAGAAGTTTCCGAAAAATTGTATAGTGTAAGATAAATTTATCATCGAAAGATCCGTGTTATCATAATATATTTGATGTAAAGTTTATATGCAAACTGCGAGGGAGGTATGGAATGGAAATGATACACACACACACACACAAACTCACAAAAAACTGTGTACCTATTGTTAACTCTTATTTGTTTTTTGTTTGTTTGGAGTTGTTTTTGTTTTTTTTCGAATAATACACAGTATACAGCCACCGTTCGTTAAACATAACCACACAAAAAATATGATACCATCAATCAAACATAAAAATAGGCCTACATGATTTAGGTTTGGGGTGGGGGTGGATTTTTTGGTATATGGTTGGAGTTGTGGCTTTAAGAAGAGCAGGAGGTTGTTGAAACCTTTTTACAAAAAAAAAATTGTTTGTATTGTTTTGAAGACGATGTGGACTATGTGGTCCAAGTTTAAATTTTAAGTCTTTTAATTTCGATCTCCTATGAAAGTTGTTTTCAATAAGTGTCATATATGATATTACCTAAAAACAATTTGGGGGGGGGGGGGGGGGGGGGGTGAAATCATCCCATCTCTCAAATGTATCGACCATTTGTGTATCGCACTTTCACTGCTTCATTTGCCTCTTTAACATAACCAATTTTCTGTTTGCATAGTTTGTAATTTTTTTTTCAACCAAGTTCTAATGCGTAGGGTCTTCAGAAAAATTAATGTGTCTAAAATGAACAATACAATATTCAAGTGAATGGACTCGTTATGCAAGTAAAGCATCTATTGTAAGGAATTGAAATTTTGACCCCAAAATATGTTTTTTAAATAAATTTCAATTTTCAGCAACCGAAGTAGGTAGAATGATTGTTGGTGTTTGGGCACTGAAGCGTAACCAGTGGATGAGCTGAAATAGCGGCCAATACGACTGAGACCATTTTACCAAAAGCGGGACCTTTTCAATGTTAATGATATAACCTGGTTTTCGTTCATTGAGGGCAAAAATAAATTTCCATTATTAGCATATATCTATATATAGATATATATCTATATCTATATATATATATATATCTATATATAGATATATATATATAGATATAGATATATATAGATATATGCTAATAATGGAAATTTATTTTTCCTAACCTGAATCTGATTTTTCGAAACCTTTATTTATAAATTCATAGGAACAGTAATGTTGTTTTTAATTACACTTTATTTAAACTATTTCTTTGTTTAAAATACATTTTTTTTAAAGAAAACAGCCAACAACAAAATTAATGTCTTTCCAACATATTCACAAGGCCCCAGTTACGCCCGTTGGATCTCGACATTACTTCAGCTGTCCCGTCATTGTTAAATTCCAGAATTATCTCTTGAACTTGGAGTGAATTTTTTGCAGAAAGTAATTCACATTGAGTCGATGATTGAGATTGTGACTTGTCTTGTGACCTTCCAAAATTAACATGCAGATGTGCTGAGCTATTTGATTTCAAACCTTTGACAGTGTGTTAATTGGCCAATCATTTCCCCTTTTGTTTCAACAAATTGGCATCGTCTTCACTTTCCAAACTCTCTTGGGGGGAATTTCGCCACGGCACACCTAGTAATCGTCTGGCGCAGGCTTGCACAACTCAAAATGTAAAGTGGATCGTAATACTTTATGAAAAACTTGTGCGGGCCTTAATATTTTATGAAAAGCTTGTGCGGACCGAAAGATAATGGGACAAGGGGAAAGCTATTAAGAAAATAACAAAAATAAAGAATATTTCGTTACTTCGCGGGCCGCCAAGTGGGTGCCGGCGGGCCGCATTGGCCCACGGGCCGTATGTTGTGCAGGCCTGGTCTAGCGGCACACACACCTAGCATAGTCTCGCCGCACACCTCCTAGCATCACCTCGCGGCACACCTAGTAGCATCGTCTCGCGGCACACCTAGTAGCATCGTCTCACGGCACACCAAGTAGTATCGTCTCGCGGCACACCTAGTAGCATCGTCTCACGGCACACCTAGTAGCATCGTCTCGCGGCAAAACTAGTAGCATCGTCTCGCGGCACACCTAGCCATCGTCTCGCGGCACACCTAGCATCGTCTCGCGGCACACCTAGCCATCGTCTCGCGGAACAACTAGCATCGTCTCGCGGGAACTTTTTTTTTTTTTTTTTTTTAAAGAGTGGCTGGCGGTGTTTCCGTGTAATAATTGAGTTACCGGGCTTATATAAACCTATGAAGTACCGGTAGTCTATTCCAATTCTACATTATTATTTTTCTTCACTATTACTATTACCATAAATGTTATACCCGTAGAAAAAAATCAATGCGGAGTATTACTAATGTGAATTTTATACTGAACCCTAAAACAAGTGACATTTCCCTGCAGTCGACATAGAGAGGTATAATCAATTTCATACATTTAAATGAGTTTTAATTTTAATTAAGATTTTTTTGGTCTGGGATGAGATTTATTGGTGTGTATAATAGAGGCTAATAACGAACGTTGCCACGAAGGAAAAAAAAACAACCATTATGCAATTTCCTAAGTAAGAATTAGGTCAACTCTTTACGACCTCTTAAAAATATACACCGGTACCGGGTATAGTAAAAAAAAATATAATAAAAACTCCGATTTCAAGTCGTACAAGAAAACCAGACTTAAACCAACCAGGCAACAGCGGACAACGATTCTCCAATAAACCCGCTAAATAAATTACATGGGCCAAAGAGAAATTACGAGACTTTAAGAATCCAATAATATTTTCATTCCACACCTTAAATATACTTTTAGATCCAATTTTACCATGGTAATTTCAGATCGTTTTTTCATGTTACTAATGTAGATAATTTCTATAGTATTACTAATATAGATCATTTCTATGCTATTACCAATGCCGCCTTTATAATTAAGAAGCACACTTATTATTTATCCAAAAAAATAATGTTGAAATGAGACGTGAAGGCCATGAATAGTTATTGTGAACGACTTACCAGACAATGATGAAACCAGTGTCGCCTATGTGATAACATGACAATGGGCAGATACCAAGCCAAGCAAGGATATGTCCACGAGCGGCGTTGACACGTTATGTTAGGGAAAGGAGTGGGGGGGGGGCAGATGGTGTTGTTTCTCTAGTCCGAATGTGTTGGCCTGTTCGTGGCGGATTGTGCTGGTTGCAGCTTGTTAATGAATGGGCTAATCATTTGCCTAATGGGCTCAAATACATACGCGCTGGATGCTGCTGTGGTGGGTTCAAGGCGTGGGGTTGCTAAACAGGGATGCCTGTGGGGAGGGAGTATC